GCCTTTCTCCTCGTGGACACTCTATGCTAATCCCCAGGTGTAAACCCCTTAGACCTGCCTCCCCGCGGGATAAACTACTCTGGTTTTCAGATGGGAGGGTATCTTGGAGACCATTTGTTGCCGAGGGCTACTCTGCCTGCCTGCTACCCGAGCCTGCTGCCCTGCTGGATGCCCCGTACCAGGAAGCAGGAACTTGAGGCAGAGCCCAGACTCGAATGACTGTTGGGCGAGGGAGGCCATGTTCCCAGCTGGAGTTATTCCAAGTTGTTGCCTTGGTGTGAGAGAGGAATTCCAAGCCGAGATAAAGCACCAAGAGTGGAGGTTAAAGAGGTGAGCGCCAACAGCCTCAGGATGGGCGCAAGTGCGGTGGCTCCCTGTACTGGGGGGCACTGGTGGTGGGAGGTGGTGTGTGTGTCCTAATTGAATAGACAAGCAGGGCAGGGTTTGGGTGGGGTTCAGTGCCTATAGGGGCCTCCAGGGTTCCTGGCGTCTCCACAGGCGCAAGGGAGTGTGTTCATCAAGGCATCCTGTGTGTGATGGGGCTGTCCCAGGGCCATCATGAGTGAGTATGCTAAGTCCCCAAGGGATGAGGTAGGATTTTAGCCATGACACAGGGCTGAGGTGAGGACCAGGCCACCCAGCCCACCTCAAACCAGGCCCTCCAGTGTGGGACACAGGCAGTGCAAGCAAAAGTCACAACTTATAGAGCCTGGATGGAAAGTGGAGCACCAGGGATTCAAACTGGTGCCCATGTGGGATGCTGGTGTTACAAGTGATGCCTTTACCTGCTATCCAAGTACTTCTTTTTAAAATTACTTGTATTAACTTTTCTTTTAGATGTTTGCTATTATTATTGTTATTATTATTATTACAAAGTTAGATATACAGAGAGGAAGATCTTCTGTCCGACGGTACACTCCCCAAGTGACTGCAATGGCCAGAGCTGAGCCAATCTGAAGCCAGGAGTCTGGAGCCTCTTCTGGATCTCCCATGTGGGTGCTGGGTCCCAAGGCTTTGGGCCATTCTCAACTGCCTTCCCAGGCCACAAGCAAGGAGGTGATGGAAGTTGAGCTGCCAGGATTAGAACCGGCGCCCATATGGGATCCCGGTGTGTTCAAGGTGAGGACTTTAGCCGCTAGGCCACCATGCTGGGTCCTAGGAGTTTGCTTTTAATAACACCAAATAAATAACTTTAAGAAAATAACCAGGCAGATTCCTGGCTGCTTTCATCAAGGCACAAAACAAAAACTAGTTTACCTCTACAAGGGTGTCTCTTGCAGCCTCAAGCTGAGAAAGCCCAGTATCAAATCCAAGGGCTGACTCTGGTTTCCAAGTTAGAATGTTCTAGAATGTCACCAAAACTGGTGGGAGTAGTTGCTCAGCAACCCCAAAACTGGGCCCAATACACAGCAAGCTCATCAAGGACATTGCTGGCGAGTGAAGGCTGAAGCGGAGCAAGGGGTCAGACAGCTAGACTCCCCAAGGGGATTAAGGCAAGTGAATTTGGGAGTTGGCATTGGAGTATGGCAGGTTAAGCTGCTGCCCTGTATTGGAGTGTCCAGTCCAGCAGCCCAGCTTGTGATCCAGCTCTCTGCTAATGTGACTGTGAAGGCAACAGAAGATGGCCCAAGTACTTGGGCCCCTGCCACCCAGGTAGGGGGCCCAGATAAAGCTCCTGGCGTCTGGCTTAGGCCTGGCTATTGAGGATATTTAGGAAATGAACCAGCAGCAAATGGAAGAGTCTCTCATTCTCTCTCTCTCTCTCACTCACTCTCTCCCCTTCTCCCTCTTTTACCTAGGACAGGCCAAAGCCATTTGCTTCTTCTGGGTCTCCTACCCAGATGGCAAGGATCCAAGTACTTGGCCCATCTTCTGCTGTTTTTTTTTTTTTTTTTTTCAGGCACATTAGCAAGGAGCTGGACTGGAAGTGGAACAGCCAGAATACAAACTGCTCTACCACATAATGCTGGCCCTAATAAATAAATCTTTTAAAAATGTTCTATCCAGGGGCCTAGCGTGGTAGCCTAGCGGGTAAAGTCCTAGCCTTGCATAAGCCGCTTATGGAGTGAGCCAGCAAATGGAATCTCTCTGTAAATCTGACTTCCCAATAAAAACATTGGAATAATGGAGAATCTTGTGACACCAAAGAGGACAAGGTGCCAAGCCCACACACCCTCACAAACCACACAGACCTAAACTGGTAACAAAGGTAATAAGAGAAACTTACCAGAGCTGCACCTGTTACACAAGAACTGCAAAACAGTAAGGGTGATAAGCTAAAAAACCCTTGCTGCACCTGAGGTTGGTCACCTGGGGGGTGCTATGGCAGCAGTTCCAGCTCAATCAGGGTGACTGTCCCCAGCGGGGCAGCAGCAAGCAGGACACCAGAGGCAGTGAACTGCGACAGGGACTGCAATCCCAGAAGCACACCTGGGATCGCAGAACTCTGCAGTTAGGGCGAGTTCCCAGGCTCCCAAAGTGCCTCCCACACAGGTGATTTGCATCCCTGAATGCGGCTGGAGAACAGCCCCTTTAGTTGGAGAACTCCACCCAGAGCCCTAGGGCCACACACTGGGATGTGGGCATCTCCAGTCTAATTTTGATTCAGTAGCAGCCAGAGGCCTCCCTTCAAAGTGTTTACCAGGCCCAGTCCCCTCTGAAAATCCTGTCCCACTCCGGCCCTTCCCAAGCTCTGACCTGGGCCTCCACCCCTCTCTGCTCCAGCCCCTGGCTGGCCAGCCTGCCCTCTCTCCGACCCTTTGTCCTGGCTGTGGACCCCTCAGGCCTCTGCTCACTTTGGTGAAGCTTCCTGCCACCCTGCCTGTACCCTACCCTCTGTTAGCTGCCCCCTACTCCAAATTCCCTCCCCTCTGTGGGTCTCCCCAGTGGGACTGACAGGCCAAAAGTTCTGAATAACTTTTTTCCCCCAAAATGGCAGCAAAGGACTTTTGCAGCCACTAGACAAGGCAGGAGGATAGGCCGGGAGTTTAGACAGGGACATGGCTGCCAAGTATGTTACTGACCGGGGTTCTCGTCTTCCTAGAAGAAAAATCAGACGTGAGACAGAGGGGAGAGGTAAGTGGGGTGCAGAGTTTAATAAAGACAAACAACAAGGACAGTACAACTGGTAGACCAGGCGGGCAGCCCCAGGAAAGGACCAGAACCCAGACTGCAGTCTAGTGGAGCCTGAGGGCTCCTGTTCTTCCTGCCCCCGCCTCCTTCCCTTGGACAAAGGGTTTGGCAGGCATGCAACCAGTAAAAATTCAGAGTTTCATTACCCACTGTCACCAGACTCTGGTGCCAGCATCCTATTTAGGCACCAGTTCTAGTCCCAGCTGCTCCACTTTCGATCCAGCTCCATGTTAATGTGCCTGGGAAACTAGCGAAGGATGGCTCAAGTCCTTGGATCCATCCACCCAAGTGAGAGCCCAAAGAAGTGGGCTAAGCCACCTGGATCTCACGTGGGCACCCATCGGTGTCCCAGTTGATCCACTTCTGATCCAGCTCCCTGCCAACAAAAGGATGGTAACCACACAGGACACCTGGATGAGCTCCTGGCTCCTGGCTCCTGGCTTTAGCCATCTGGGGAATGAATCAGCAGATGAAGGTCTCTGTCTCTCTCTGTAACTTTGACTCTCAAGCGAAGAAATCAATCTTTAAAGTCAACCTAAGTTAACATATTTTAAAGAATTTATTGCAAAGAATGCTGGGCACAGTGTAATGAGTGGCTGTGACCATGCATTCCAGGGAAGCAGGACACTTGCCATCCACACGCATCGGCCACCAAGGCCACCCCTGGGCAGCCCACACAGAGGCCACTCCAGAACCAAGGCTGGCTAGCAGGGGGCTGCCCGCACCCTTGTCCTCATCGCAGACCTCCAGCTACCCTGTCCCAGGCCTGGTCATGCGTTTGACTCCAGCAGCACCCACCTTTCCTCCACACACAATGGGCCTTGAGGGTCTCACCTTAGGAGACCCCCAGATGGGCAGACCCAGTTGCTGACTGAAGGAACCCCTATGGCAACAAAGGAGGGTGTGTCCAGCTGACCAAAGTCACCAAAACTGCGAGGGATACAGGAGCCAAGGTACAGTCCCCTGTCCCGAAGGCAGCGGTTAGATTTTCAGGTCTAGGGAGACCTCCACTGGCCCCATGACAGGCTTGGTCCACCTGCATCTTTCCACAGCAGTGACAACATCAAGCAGGGTCAGGGGACTTCTCTCAGGGGAGGGGGCACCTGCAGAGGGCCTGGGGCTGGACAAGAAAGGTCGTTCAGCCAGGCTGGTGCAAAGCGAGCTTGGGTGCCAGGAGCCTGGCCTCCCTTGCTTGGCTTTGAATCACACACTCTCTGGCCCGGGCCCATACGGCCAGCCTGTCTCTCTGTCAGCTATCAGATGGGCATAGGGCCCATGGCCTGAACCCAGAAGGGCTCAGAGGCATGACCGAGGCCAGCCTTCATGAGGCCTTTGTCACCAGGCACAGGAGTACCCAGTGACAAGCTGTGATGTGGTTGGGAAATCTCCCTCCATTCCGGCTGTCCGCACTCCTGCCCACTCTGTGACCACAGGTCAATAGGTAGAGACCCACAAACCCAGGACCATGACACTGCCTGAGGCATCTGCGGCAAACACCCATGCCCGCCCCCACTCCTGCACACATTCTTATATGGACACAAAGTGGCCACAAGTGGGGGTGGCCACCTCCTCCCCAGCCGTCCCCACAGACACAGTCGGGCAGGGGAGGTGGGGCAGCATCTGCCTTTAAGCACTTGGGTGTGGGCACTGTGGGGGGAATGAATATAAGGCCCTGTCTTACGTGGCTTCACCGTGAACAGTAGGAAAGGATGGCCAGGGCCACCGTCTCTTCAGGATATCCCGTGCATGCGAGGGACAAGGGGTGAGGTGATGGCCCTCCCCGCAGGCGGGGTGGGGACACAGGTCTGGCAGTGCTACCCACAAGGCCCGTACCCCAGCTCCCCAGGTTGAAGGGGCTCCCTTCCCACCTGCAGCAGAAGTGGTAGCTCGGAGTCCCACGAGGACCTGTGGCTTAGGAAGTGACCACACCGAGGACCACAGAGGGCCCCGCACGGGCACCAGATCCATGCAGGGCCACAGCAGGCTCATCCCAGCAAGCTCTTGCCGTTTCACATTTGATGGTTTCACATGTCCCAAGGCTCATGGTGAACAAGAACGGCTGAGGGCCGCAGCAGAGTCCAGTCCGGTCCACAGGCCCCCAGCCTGCACGCATGCACAGCAGCGCTGCCAGCCAGCCAGCCAGCTACGTCACTGTCGGTGAGGAGGGCGCCAGCAGGGGCCCCATGAGCTGCCAGCCACTGTGGCTCCTGCATGGTGACAGACACACGCTAAGGACATCCAGGGCCGCCACCTTGGCAGAGATCCACACCAGTCCAAGGCTCACTGTGGACGACACAGTCACTGATGCGCGGGAACCGTGACGAGGGCTTCCTCCGGAGGCCTCGAGATGTCCACATTCTGCACGAGAAACCCACAGAACACTGCCACCACACCAAGGACAGCACACCTGCCGCTGCTCCGCTGCTCTCCTCGTCACTCTGGCCCCTTCCTTTCTCGCCCCAGAAGCCCGGCTACAGGACCCTGACATTCCCAAAGGTCACAAGATCAGGAGCTTAAATGACAGGACACAGGTGGGGCGGGGGGGTCCCAGCTCCCTGCGCCTTTGCATACTGCTTGGTTTGGTGTAACTTCCCCACCTCTAAATGTCAGCGGGAGGCCACAGAGGCCTCTTGGAGCAGCAGACTCCAGGGACTGGGCCTGGTATTTCAGAGCAGAGCCCCCGAGGGACAGTCACCTTGTGGGCACTGAGAACGCTTTGGGACAGCACTGTAGGCAGCTGCCACCACACACAGGGCACCAGGGTGGCTATTCTCCCAAGATATGGCCTCTGCCCAGCGCTGGGCCCCAGCATCTACAGCAAGGCCTGGCGGCAGTCTAAGTCTTAAAGCTGCTCAGTTTGGAAGAGGCCGAGGGAGGGAGAACCTGCCCTGCTGTGGCTTCCAGCCTCCTGGGTCAGATTTTCTAGGTGTGGCTGCTGGGCAGCCGAGCTCAATTGAGTTCAGCCCCTTCCTGGGCGGTGGCCCAGCCCTGGGACTTCCCCACCTGTGGGCAGCTGGCCTTGGGAAGCTCCTACCCCAGAGCACAGCCAGGGCCAAGGCCATACCTGACGTCAGAGCAGCCTCGGCAGGAAGCTCACCCTCTGGCAGGTGCCCCAGCTGGGCCTGGCCCCCCCAGACAATGTCCAGGCCCCTTGGGACCATGCCCAAAACCCCAGTGGTGACCCAATTGCTACCTGAGGCCTGTCCCGGTGTGTGTTGACAGCAGCCACGTTCAGGAATATGGACTCCACTTTACAGCCTACCAAAGGGGGACAGGCAAGAAAGCTTCTCTCAGGAGGAGCTGGGGCTATAGGGGAGCAAGCAAGCACCCCTGCTCACTTGTGCCCCTTCCCCATAGCCCATGTAGAGGCTTCTCCTCAGGAGGCTGCCTAGACAGCTGCCCACCCTGGGACCACCAGTGGGGGCGGGGGCTCTCAGCTGTCAAGACCCACAATGCACCACCCCCTACCCTGGCACATGAGGCTCAGTGCGATGGGGACGCCGGGTCAGGGCGTCAGCTGCCGCCGCTCTCCTGCATATACCCGTGACGGGGGCAGAAGCTCCGGAAGCTGCCTGAGGTCTCCACAGCAGGGCCTCATGCAAAGGTGGGGGGCTCATTCACCTGCCCCCAGAGTGTTCTAAGGCACTGGCCCTGTGTTGTGTGGGCTGTGGGGAGACCCATGGAGAAGCGCCTCTCACAGATGGGCCATGGGTGAGGAGGCCTGGGGCGCTCGCTGAGCCACAGCTGTGTATATAATAACACATCCACAAACTGGGAAGGCCGTGGGTGTGTGTGCCTGTGGATGTTAGGGTGGGGGATGAACTTTTAATGGGATTTTTCAAGGAATCTGAAGAAGATAATCAGATTAAACAAAGAGCCAAGGACTTGGGAGCCATGGGTCAGGGCATGGGAAGTCTCCTTACCGTAAGCCACAGGGGTGAGCTTCAGGACCGTGTGTAGTGGACACTTGAGGTACGGCAGCTGTTCTGTGGACACACAACGGATGGGCTGGCACACCAAGGATGCTCAGGGGACAATCCCACCCGCTCACATTCTTGCCCCAGGGACAAGGTCCACACCTGCTGCTTTGTCCAGGAAGTAGGCTAGGAGGCAGCGCATCACGGCCTGGTGGCAGATCACCAGCACGTTCTCTTGTCGCTCCAGTTCCATGATGACGGGCTCCAGCCGCTGCACCAGGTCCTCATAGGACTGCAAGGGCAAGGCGGGAGGGTGGCCCTCAGGCCTGACCCCATTCCTGGCCATCCTTCTGCTCCCTGGAGAAGGGCCACCTCCCCATCCTAGAGTCAGGGCCTGGAAGGCCGAGAGGGCTTTGTTCCCGTTCCAGGTCTGCCCAGGGGACTGTGTGCTGAACCATCTTGTGCATGACCTTGGGGCTCAACTGGCTAATCCTCTACTTGCAAGTGCTGGGATTCCATACGGGTGCCAGTTCAAGCCTCAGCTGCTCCACTTCCCATCCAGTCCCCTGCTTGTGGCCTGGGAAAGCGGCAGAGAACAACCCAAAGCCTTAGGACCCTGCACCTGCGTGGAAGACCCAGAGGAGGCTTCTGGCTTCAAATCAACTGAGCTCCAGCCTTTGTGATCATTTAGGAAGTAAACCAGAAGATGAAGATCTCTTTTTTTCTCTCTCCTTTACTCTGTAAATCTGCCTTTCCAATAAAATTAGATAAATCTTAAAAAAAAAAAAACAGAGTGTGACCCTCCAGGGACATCTGAGGTCACCAGGGACATGCCCTACTCCACTCTCCCGTACCTGGCATACCCTGCAGCCTGCAGGTCTTGGGCCGGCCTGAGAACAAGGAGCCTGAGAGATTTTCACCTGCAGCCTGGGCCCAAGCCCTGTGGGATGGCATCCCTTGGCACACAGGCAGGTCCTCAAGCAGGCAGGGCAGGTTCTGACCTGCTGAACATTGTCCTCCCAGTGCTCGAGCTAGGCGGCCAACTGCTCTAGGTCTCTCTTATCTAAGCTTACCTAGGCTCCCATGTGGGAAACAATCTAGTGTCATCCAGAGCTATGCGATGTCCCGGGATGAGGCAGAGCAGGGGCCCATGAGCCCAGTGTCTGCATGTGTGTGTCAATGTACGCATGTGCCCTGTGAATGGCTGTCACCTGCTGTGGCTGCAGGGGCATGGGCTCCTCAGAAAGCTGAACCTCATGATCCAGCGTTGGCTGAGGCCCTGCCCTTCCAAACCCCCTGCCCTCCCCAGGAGGGGAGACAAAGATGGGGAGCAAGGATCCGTTGGGTCCCACCTTGGGCACCTGCCCTGTGCAGCTCAGGCCTGCCGGGGCTCAAGGAGCAGGTGGATGCCTGGGCCGCACAGCAGGAAGTCACACAGAGGGCACGCATCAAGGGGAGCAGGTGTCTCGTAGGCCAGGTCCGTTCTGCTGCTCCACAGCGTCCGTAGGGCCCCACAGACCCTTAGCCTCGGCAGGGCCTTGTAGGCAGGCAGCTGGGACTAAGCATCCAACCCCACTTCCACCTACCTCTCCCTTTGGGTAACGATAGCGGTACTTGTCCTGGTCCCGCAGGGCAAACTCCAGTGGATAATGTTCTTGAATCTCCTCATAAGTCATTTCCTCGCAGACGCCCTGGGGAGACACACCTTGGTCATTACACGTGTTATGGCAGGTCTGGCGACCAGCCCGTGGCAGGTGGCAGGCGGAGGCCAGGTTTCCGGGCATTTCCTGGGCTCCGCCTGTCTGGGAAGAGCGGGCCTTCTGGGTATGCTAAGGCTGGGGTGGCCTGGTCCTTGTGAAAAACAAGCAGAGTAGTCTGGCCCACCCATCCATCATCCATCTGCCTGGTCTATGCCAGGAAAACCAACACAGAAATATAAACGCTGGGGGTTTTTCTCCTGCACCTTTCTTTCCTGTGTTAACAGTAACAGTTGCTGAGCACAGACAACTATGCACAGTATACATCAAGATTGCACTGTATGGTTTGGGATGCACACACACAGAATACCTTTTACAAATGTCACTAAAAAAAACTGCAGGGCCCGGCGGCGTGGCCTAGCAGCTAAAGTCCTCGCCTTGAACGTGCTGGGATCCCATATAGGCGCTGGTTCTAATCCCGGCAGCTCTACTTCCCATCCAGCTCCCTGCTTGTAGCCTGGGAAAGCAGTCGAGGATGACCCAAAGCCTTGGGACCCTGCACCCGCGTGGGAGACCCGGAAGAAGCTCCTGGCTCCTGGCTTCGGATCGGCATAGCATCGGCCATTGCGCTCACTTGGGGAGTGAATCATTGGACGGAAGATCTTCCTCTCTGTCTCTCCTGCTCTCTGTATATCTGACTTTCCAATAAATAAATAAATCTTTAAAAAAAAAAACTGCAGAGAAGGCAACTTCATGCAAACATTCAGCACTAAGGATCATGGGAAGGTGCAGAGCAGGTCAGGCAGTCACTTCATTAGCCATGACCACCCTTCACCAAGTCTGCAGCTCAATCACACACGACTTCCCCAGGAAGAATGACAGCCCCCCGTGCCACACCCTCAAACTGCTCCTTGCCCAGGAATGTCTGCATTGAGTGCAGACACACCCAGGGAGGGGCTGGTGGCCAAGGCCCTTCACAAAACCTTGCTGGCTGTGTCTTTGCTCCAGGCTTTTTCTACAAAGCTGCAGGGGTCAAACTGTGCACAGAAAAGGAAAGTTAGAGCTGTAAATGCCCACAGCAAGGAAGCAGCCAGAGGCAGGCTCTCTGGCCGGCAGGCTGGGCTGCCCATGGCCCCCGATCCTGTGCGGGTCCAGCCCTGGCCGTTCCACATCCAAGCCTGCTCTCTGCCAAGGAGTCTGGGAGAGTGGCAGATGAATCCCTGCCACCCCGTGAGACCTGGATGGAGCTTCTTGCTCCTGGCTTTGGCATTTGGGGGAGTGAACCAGTGGATGGAAGATCTGTCCCACTCTGTCATTCTATGTTTCAAAGAAGGCTCATGATGTTAAAACAGAAGACTAACCCTGGGAAGTTTATCGGAGTCCAGAAAAAGAACAAAGATAAACGTGAAGAGATGACTAACGGGTCACAGAAATTGTAATAGTTTCAAACTTGGTGGGCGAAGGAGGAAATGCACAAACATCTAGAAGAATCGCCAAAGGGGAGAAGGCTGGGATGCAGGCTGCTCAGCCCAAGGCCACTTCCAGGTTGCAACACACCTGACAATAAAAGTCACAGGGGAGGCCTCCGAACGTCCCACCAGCCCCAACTGGGCTAAGCTAGTTTACGGGTTTAAAAAAATGCTTACCTTCAAAAAAAAAAAAAGCTTACCTTCTTGAAAAGGGCCATCAATTGTGGAGGAAAAAAAAAAGTGATAAAACAAAACCACTCTCTGACATTGTATGTACGAGCAATGTTAGCCATGGGGAAAATTGTTTGGGAGGGACAGGAATTTGGGGGGAGAGGGAGGGAGGTGGAATCCCAGACTACATAACCACACCATAAAATTCAAATTAGGGCTGGGCCTGGTGGCGTGGCCTAGTGGCTAAAGTCCTCACCTTGAATGTGCCAGGATCCCATATGGGCACTGGTTTTAATCCCGGCAACCCTGCTTCCCATCCAGCTCCCTGTTTGTGGCCTGGGAAAGCAGTCGAGGACAGCTCAAGGCCTTGGGACCCTGCACCTGTGTGGGAGGCCTGGAGGAGGCTCCTGGCTCATGGCTTCAGATCAGCTCAGTTCCAGCCATTGCAGCCACTTGAGGAATGAATCAGTAGATGGAGGATCTCCCTCTCTGTCTCTCCTCCTCTCTGTATATCTGACTTTCCAATAAAAATAAATACATATTTTAAAAAACACCTTTATTAATTTAATTTATTTACCAGTCAGAGGGCATTCCCATCCCCCAGTTCCTCCCAAAATGCCAGCAATGGCTGGGGCTGTGCCAAGCCTTCCACTGTAGGGGCAGGAAGCCAGCACTTGGGCCATCACTTGCTGTCTCTCAGGGCACATGTTGTTAGGAAGATAGAGCCAGAAACAGGCCAAGCCTTGACCTCAGGCATCCTGAGGTGAGATGAAGTTGTCCCAACTGGAGGCTCAACTGCCAAGTCAAACAGCCACCCGAGATAGCATCAGTGAGGCGCTAAGACACGTTGAAGGCTGCGCTGCTACAGCTCGGGTGAGCTCCTGGATCCTGCAGCCCTCCCCGAGCCCTGCACCCTGCTCCCTCCAGTGTGCAGTGCCTCCACAAGGCCCCCAGGGCCATGACTTTGGACTGGATAAGGCGGAAGCCAGCCTTAGCAGATCAGCAGTGTGGTCTGAATTTCCACAGCCAGGCTCACCCATGCAGGCTGCTGGCAGAGTCCTCAGTTCCCACCCGAGGGCCCACTCAGTCACCCCCTCAGGTCAGCTTTGCTGGGTGGTTCCCTGCATGCCTTCCCTCCTCTCTGCTTTGCTCAACAGAAGCAATGGTTGATGTTACAAGGTAAGTTCAGGACAACCGGGGCAACTGCTCTCTGCTTTCCCTACCGGCGTCTCTGTAACCAGTCCCTTTCCAAACCCTCACTGAATTAACCTAATTGGAATGGCCATCTGTTTCCTTTTATATCTCACAAATTCCTAAGTCATGAGCTTTCAATTACTTCATAACACAACACCGAAGTATGGAAAAAAAAAAAAAAGAAAGAAAAGAAATACACAAAGTACTAGCTAGAGATGGAGATGCAAGAAAAATAAACAAAACCATAATTATAGAGACCTATCCAACAGCCAACTACTGCTGGATGATGACCAAGTGGAAAAAAAATAAGGGCACAGAAAACTCTGACAGCATAATTAAAGGTGAGGAGACATACAAAAGCAATGGAGAAATGAACAGGAAATCTCTAATGTACAATCTGGAGCTGGGGGTCCAATTCACCCCAGTTTACTCTAAAATAACCCAGTTGCTGATGGAGACAGCCTGGCCATGTGCTGAACACCACTGCTAAAGCTGACACTGGGTACAAGGGACTCGCTAGGACAGTCTCTTTATTTTTATATATAATTGATATTTCCTATAATCAAAAAAAAAAAAAATAGAACAGGAACAGGATTAACTTGGCATTCCCCTTTCCTGGACAGAGCCTGAGAGGAAAGCGCATGGAACGAAGAACAAGACAGGGACGACCACTCTGCCTGTCAGGCATGCTTGCCCACGCAACAGTCTAAATGACTGTTACAACCCAAGACATAGGAACAGGAAGTCAAAACCTGGGCAGTCCTTATCTGAGGACAACTCCTCAGGAAAATCCCGGAGAACAGAGAACAAACTGGAAAAATCACTGGAGCACTTGCCAAGGGTGAAGAGGACTCAAATCCACCCGCTCCCCCTCTCCACGTCCCCACCCGAGTCCCAGAAGCCACCCCCTCAGCAGCTCATGGCAAGCTCCCAGTGGGGCTCCCTCCTCCAGCCTGTCCCTACCTTGCCCCAACAAAACCACCCTCCACTGCCGTGGGCCGGACAGTTCCACAGCAGCAGGACTCTTGCAAAGACCCATCTGATCCCTGCAGACTCCTGCTTCCGGCAATGGCGGGCCAGCAGCCAGTAGGGGACGGCGAAACAGTGAGGCCGACCACTTGCCAAACGTAGCTGACAGCACTGTCTAGTCAGAGGCAGAAAGGGCTCCAGGGCCGAGATCTCAGGGCACGAGGAAGACACAGAGGTGACCCTGACACCAGCTGAAGTGCACAGACCTGGAGTGATCTGAAAAGCATAGTGAGCAGCTCCCCGCTTAGCTGGATGAGGTAAGCCAACCCTAACGCCTGCCAGAGCCCAAGGGAACTCTCCAGGGAAAGGCGACATTGGCCAGGGCCTTGAAAGCTCTGATGTTCACACACAAGGTCCAGCACTCGGTGCGACATTACCAGGGATGTGTCCATCAGGCACCACCTACATCCAGAATGCTTAGAAACGCTCACACTGTTGCCCCTGGGATTGAGTTCAGCCTCTCCCTCCTGGCCAGCTGCCTGCTGACGGGCACCCTGGGCCTCTGTTACCCACAGGGCAGACCCAGATGGAGTTCCTGGCTCTCATTGTCACAGCCATAGATCTCTGTCTCTCTCATTGTTTTTCAAACAAACTTTTTTTTTTTTAAAGAACTCACAAAAATCAACAAGAGAAAGGGAGAAATTCTAACTAACGGGGAAGAGTGAGAGCCAGCATGAGATATCCCAATGGCCAATCAACATGGTGAACTGCCTCATTAAAACAGTAGGATCCCGCAGAGAGACTCACTCGGTAGATGCATACCTAAGAACTTAACATAAAAGAAAGTAACATAAATGAACAGGAAAAGGATACACACACAACTATTGATAAACTCGTTCACTGGGGAAAGATCAGACTTTAGGCTTCATAAAAAAAAGTAGCTTTTGGTGGTCTAAACAAACAAACAAACAAACAAAAAACACACGGAGTAGGCATTTAACAGTTACGACATCTGTGGCCCATGGGCAGCCTGACAGGTTAAGCCTCTGGGACACTGGCATCCTGTATCGGTGCCAGTTCGAGCCCCAGCTGCTCCACTTCTGATCCAGCTCCTCACTAACACATGAGGAAAATCTGTGGAGGACAGCCCGAGCCCCTGGGCTCCTGCACCCCCATGGGAGATACAGCAGAGTGCCCGAGTACCATCCCTGGCCCTGGCTCATGAGCCTAAGAGGCAAAGGTCATAGTTCAAACAGTCTGGTTCCCTGCCATCCACACGGGAGATCTAGAGCGAGCCCTTGGCTCTCAGCTGTGAACCTAACCCAGCAGCCCTGCTCGTTGCAGACTTCTGGGGAATGAATCAATAACGAGAGGTTTACCCCTCAATTTAAAAATTTTTTAAAAATAGAAAGAGGAAGGGAGACATTTCCCCAGGTCTGAACCCTAGCAATGGCCAGCATGCCTGTGCACAGGCAGGGCAGGGGTGGGACTTACGGCGTCAATCTCATTGAGGACCTTCCACTGCTCATAGGGTACCCCCAGCGCCTCGGCCGTCTGGATTGTCCTCTTCATCTGGCTCGTCCACACCTTCAAGTCCTTGATGTTCTGGTCACTGATGAACTGGGCCAGGCTCTTAGCAAACTGCAACACAAGCAAGTTCAGACCCACGGGCCCAGGCTGTCCTCCAGGGAGCCCCCAGACATAAATCCACGGGTCCATGCTCAACCCCAGAGGACACAGTTATGGTTAAAGAAACATGAATTCCCTCAGTGACACCCATACTCCCAAGTCCCACTCTGTTTTTTTAGATTGATTCACTTGAAAGTCAGAGGGCTAAAAAAACACGAAAAACGCACACACACAAGAGAAAAGAAAGAGGGCTGGCATGATGCATCAATGGCTAAATGCTCACTGTGCAAGTGCCAGGATCCCATATGGGTGCTGGTTTGTGTCCTGGCTGTCCCACTTCCCAACCAGCTCCATGCTTGTGGCCTGGGAAAGCAGTCAAGGACAGCCCAAAGCCTTGGGATCCTGCACCTGCATAGGAGACCTGGAAGAGGCTCCTGGCTTCAGATTGGCCCGGCTTTAGCTGTTGTGGCTGCTTGGGGAGTGAACCATTGGACGGAAGATCTTCCTCTCTGTCTCTCCTCCTTTCTGTATATCTGCCTTTCAATAAGAATAAGTAAGTCTTATTTAAAAAAAGAAAGAGAGAGAAAGGAAAGAAAGATCCTTCATCTTCTGGTTCACTCCCCAGATGGCCACAGCAGCCAGCACTGGGCCAGGTTGAAGCCAGGAGCTTCATCAAGGTCTCCCATAGGGGAACAGGGGATCCAAACATTTGGCCCATCTTCTACAGTATGTCCTAAGCTGTCAGCAGGGAGCTGCATTGGAAGTGGGGCAGCTAGGACGTGAAGCAGTGCCCATCCAGGATGCTAGCGTCCCAAGAGGCAAGGGTTATTCACTGTGCTGTAACACTGAGCCCCCAGGTGTCATTCTTGCACAGATTCCCCGGGCTCAGGGCCAGTGAGGGCTTATCAGGTGACCCCACCTGAAACCCCATGCTCTGGACCACCCAGCCTGTCCACTGAGGCCCACCAGCCTCCTTTCCTGGACAGCTGGAGAGCTACCATTACGCAGTAGGGACTAGGGTCAGCCCACAGCTAGCATGATTCTCCATGGATGGGCTCAGCTTATGACAGTCTACAGGGAGGTCTTCCCCACAAGACGGAACATTCCAGACTGAATGAAGGTCCTCCACCTAAGCTGCTCACAGCTATGAGACCAGGAGCCCAGCCCCGGGATATACACAAACCAGTACACGTACCCAGCCACCTAGAGAAGACACATACACACTCCCACACACTGACCTCCCTGCCCCGCGTGGACAGTCCTGGGTCCCCGCCAATCCGGCCCTTGAGGTTGAGCTCACTTTCCCCGTGCCGGCAGAGGTAGATGGAGCGTGGGGTCACGTGGATGTTCATGAGGTAATACACGATTCGGCTCTGGATGTGGTCTGCCACGCGATTCACCACGTAGCTCTGGCCCACGTCCATGATCTTGATGTAGGACAGATCCCTTTCCAGAGAGAAGGCAGAGAGCTCCGTGAGCGTGGCCAGGACCCTTGGTGGCACATCTGGTCAGGCCCAGGAACCGGCTGACCACTCAGCGTGAGACATCAGCACACAGGACCAGCAGCCGATGTGTGAGTGATGGGGTGAGGCAGCAGCAACACGCCACGCACGACAAACTGAGAGGTGCTCAACACGCATGCTTCTTAAGGTGCCAGCCAAGGCAGGGGTTGGTGGTGACCTCCCGACCCTCACGTGGCCCCGGGCCCTCGTTGGCCTACCTCAGTGCTCACACCGTACCGTCTGCAAGGGAATCGAGACATGGGTTCCCCAGACTTGACCTGGAAGCAGCAAACACTCCCGTCCTATACTCAGCCTCGTCACCGACCATGAATCTGGCCTTTTCCTCCTCAGGGACTCCCTGGCCCTGGCACCTAGAGCACGTCATCCACATGCACCAAGTAGTTGCCACAGCCCCCAGCAGGCAGCAGGGGCAGGACAAGAGGCAGAAGAGGAGGGCATTGGCACGGCAGCCAGCGGCATCCCAGCACAGCCACTTTCTCTGCCTTGGGCCCACACAGCGTGGGAGGAACTATGTGTCTGACCACGTCAGGGGCTTAGCCAGAGCACTGAGGATACCCTAATATCTGCACCCTGTTTAAGGTTGCTACTAGCAGATGTTGAGAAATGTAGGACAAATGGAATGAAGAGCTTATTTCTATACAAAATATTTGGAAATCCATGCATAGTTCTTCTATCATATGTACTTTTGTGAAAACTCTTTACATGTGTGGATTTTAATCTATTTTTCACAAAATCCATCTTTAATTCAATTTCCCAGGAATTTTTTGTAAGTGTCTTTGTACACTGCCATCACAGTAAGTATGGGGACAGGGGAGATGCTGGCACATCCCTTGGGCTGCCCCATGTTCCCTCTGTCCTGGCTCAGCTCCCAATCCCTGCCTCCACCCACCATGCCCTGGAGCAGTCAGTGACAGCTCAAGGGGCTGGGTCCCTGCCACCCACAGGGAGACCCAGACTGAATGCTGGACTCCCGGCAAATAGGGAATAAACCGACAGAGGATCTCTTTTTGTCTGCCTCTCTCTCAAATAAAATGAGGAACAATACTTATTGCCAGGCCCCTTCTGGTGTGACTGCATCCCAAGTCCACGAGGGGACATAAAAGCCACAGGAAGGCCTGGGCATCAGTGCCAGTGGGTGCTCACACAGCCTAGGCTGGTTCCAGAGCCTGGAGGGGGCAGGCTCAGGGCCAGACCAGGACAACTATTCTAGAAATGCCCCCCCAAAGCAATCCCTGTCACAGCAGCTGGCTCTCCTTGAGTCTCTGGGATGGTATAAGACCAGGCATAAGTCTGCGTGTCCACCCTCCACTTGCTGCTGTAACCTACACTCTCCCAAGTTCTTGTGTATTATGAATTACACCAATTGTGTAATGTCTGCCCAGGACTCCACTGTTATTTACTTAACCACTGCCCTGTTTACCCTTAGATGGGAGCTGGCCAGCAGGTGGAATCCAGCCCGCAGGCTGCTTGTATAAAGTTTTATTGGAAGACAGTGTTGCCAGCCTGATTTGATAACTATGTTTCCTTTGCCCATCATCAGTGGAGCTAAATAAGTGTGAAGAGACCACCCACCTAAACAGACTGTTCCCCATCCCACCCATGCCTGCCGAGAGGCCCTCAGCTAAACACGCAGTAGGGGCCTGCAGACTGGCTGTCAGATAGCTGATGGCTTTCCAGTTCAGGAGACGGGCGGAGGGAGCAAGCCCAGGCTGCTGCCTGCAGTTCCCAGGCAGGGTCTAAGAACCTCTTCCGCCTCCCCAAACACCAGAGCGCACATTTAAAGCACTTGGCTGGAAAAGTAGAACATGCTGACCTGCGGGCTCCAAGATGAGGCCACAGGTGCATGGCAAGGCCCCTCTGGCCAAAGACCTCTGCCCCAAAGAGAGAAATGACAGTGGTGGCAGCAGCCCTGCCTTTTCCAGTTGTAGTACCCCAGGGTAGAGGACACACAGCCCAGCCTTAGCAGCCACCATGGGGAGTCAGGGGAGGCAGCTGAGCCAACAACACCCGGCACCCTCCTCTCTGACTTACCTGTCCAGGTCCTCGTCCAGCGACTCATACGAGTTCTCGTAGCACTCGATGCGCCTCATGAAGTCCTCCGTGGCCTCGTCACTGTCACGGTTGACATAATCAGGGCTTCCCAGTTTCACTTGCTGCCAGAGCCAGGCACAGAGCAGGGAGCGGTCAGGGCGGAGGCCGAGGAGACTGCTGGGCAGGGGGCGGGGGGCCTGAGCCTGCAGGCTAATTGGGGCAGTCCGGCAGCCCCCTGGCCTGCGCTCTTGCCCTGGTGCCAAGGGAGTAATGAGAGCTTAAGGTGGGGCCTGTACCCTTGTGGTATCCAGGGGGGCCTGGAAGCTGACTCCCACCCTAAACCTTCTCCTCAAGCCCAGAAGGCCATTCCTGAGACGAATGGGGTGATGGGAGGAATCCATCTTTCTCCCCAGATTGGGAGTGCAGAGGAGGCCCCTGCTTAAGGCTACCCAGCCTCTCCACCCCAGCAAGGCAAAAGATCAAACTCAGGCCAGCCCAGGCAGCAGCCCAAACCAGGAGAGGGACCTCACAACTCCAGGCCACTTGCTATTGCATGGCTGTCCCCAACACGGCCAGATGCAGCACTCACCACGATGTTGGCCGCTATGACCTCGGGATCCACACAGATGGACTCAACAAAGAAGGTCTGTCATGGGGAACAGGTGCACCAGGGTGAGCAGGTGGGAAGCAAGCAGAGCACGCTTATGACTGGGGTCTGGCTCTGTGCCATGGCCATGCTGACCTGCAGCCAGACCCTGGAACCAACCTCTAGGGTTGAAGGCACAGTTGGAACGGTCCCTCTCTCCCTGCTCCCCATCCTGCCCCTCCCCCAGGACCAGGGGCAAAAAAAAAAAAAAGTCAGGTGGGAAGAAAAGAATAGTTCTTGCTGTTGCAAATAATGCTCAGGAGCTGAGCTGGCTGGAGGCCTGGCCTGCCTCCAGAGGCTGAAAAAGCGGGGGTCACAAGGCCCAGATGTGCCACAGCTCAACCTAGGAGGGGAGCGAGGAGGCCTCACCTTGTAGCCATTCTGCTCCCCAAAATTGGAAATGGTCGCTCTCCTTTCTCGGGTAGTGTTCGTTGCATCAAAAACCTGGAAGCCAAAACTGGAGTTACTTTGGCCTCTGGCCCTGCGGAGGGAGAAGGCTGCCTGGGGCTGTACCACAGGCATCTCCAAGGACTGCCTTTCTGGCTGCAAGTCCCCGGCAGCCCTGTAAGGGCTAGGCTGATCCTCCCACTCCTTAGGAAGAGAGCCCTGAGGGAGCTGGAAAAAGGGGGTGCCTGTGGTACTGCGGGGAGCAGACCTTGGGCACCACTCTGCATGCAGCAGGAGGGCAGGGCGTCTGACCCACAGGAATAATGGTGCGATTAGGTGACCTGTTTAACCGAACCTCATTTCTTTCCAGGGCAGCCAGAGACCCCCATATAACAGGAACCGAGGGCAAAAGAGAACAGAGAGGCTAGGAGATGGGGAAGTCAACCACACGGTATAAAGTAGACACACCGTGGTGTGCGGCTAAAGCTGCTACCGGTGCCGGCTTCCCAGGTGGGTAGTGGTTTGAGTCCTGGCTGCTCCACTTCAAATCCAGCTCCTAGCTATCGTGTCTGGGAAAGCAATGGAGGATGATCCAAGTGTTTGGGCCCCTGTACCCATGTGGGAGACCTGGAAGACGCTCCAGGCTTCAGATTTTGGCTTGGCAAAGTCCAAGCCATCGAACTATTTGGGGAGTGAACCAGAAGATGGAAGATCTCTCCCTTGGTCTTTCCTTCTCTGCCTTTCACAAAAATAAATAGATCTTAAAAAAAAAAAAAAATGGACACGAGGTGATAGACCTGAAGACCCGCGGAAAGCCAGGCACATGGCGATCAAGCAGAGTGTACACTGTTGCTGGGATGTCCAGTAATGGGGCCGCAGCATCTCCGAAAAGAGGGGCAGGGTGGAGGATCCTGGCTCGGGGTGCACAGAGCAGCTGGGACCCCTGGCTCTTTCCTGCCCTGGCAGGCTGAGCACTGACCCATTTGGGGCTCTGTTTGGAACATGCCCAAACCCCTCTGCTGCAGCCCACCCACGGGCAACCCAAGCAGCTTTGACAGTAGCAGCTTTTGAAGAGGGTGTGGGGGGTAGGCAGCACAGTGTCATAGCAGGCTAATTTTCTGCCTGTACCCCATATGGGCATCCATTGGTGACCTGGCTGTTTCACTTCTGATCCAGTTCCCGGGTAACAGCCTGGGCAACGCAATAAAGGATGGTCCAAGGACTTGGTCCCCTGCACCCATGTGGGAGAGTTGTATGAGTTCCCGACTCCTGGCTTTTGGCTCAGGGCAGGGGGGTCAGCCTGGGCTAGGCAGAGGGAGTCAGCCTGGGGCAGGGGGGACAGCCAGGAGTGAACCAGCAGCTGGAGGATCTCCCCTTTCTCTGTAAATCTGCTTTTCAAATGGCAATGAGTAGATCTTCAAAATAAAAATAGGAATCAGGGTGTGGCATAACGGGTTCAACCTCTGCCTGCAATACCAGTGTTCCATACAGGCACCAACTCAAATCCCAGTTGCTCAGCTCCAAGCCAGGTCCTGCTGATGCACCTGAGAAAGGCAGTGTGGGTGCGGCCCACACTGGGAGAAATCACACAGGACAGCTCTAACTCCTCGGGGCAGGGGTGAGGGGAAACCAAGTGACAGTCCAGAGGGAAGTCCTGCTGGGTCAAGTGCAACCAGCGACCTCTAGGAACCAGGGCACAGCCAGCCCACGGCCCCTCCAGGTGCTCCCCACGTGTCTCCCAGCTGGCACCAGGTGTCACACTCACCGCCACGTGGCCCCCCTCCTCGCTGAGGAACCGCCGCACGTCACGCAGGGCGGCCAGGGCACACTGCCTGTTGGGGCAGAAAACGCAGGGTCAGCCTGGCCCAGAGCCCGCCTGCCCACCCAGACAGTGGAGGGACAGCCCCGTCTCTCTCTCCAGCTCTTATTTCCCTGCAAGTCCTTGGGCTCCTGCGTCCATGTGGGAGACCTGGAAGAAGCTCCTGGCTGCTGGTTTTGGATCAGCTCATCTCTGGCCACTGAGGCCATTTGGGGAGTGAATCAGCAGAAGGAAGATCAATTTCTCTCTTTCTCTCTGTATAACTCTGGCTTTCAGATCAAAATATTTTTTAAAGATTTATTTATTTTTTTTTATTGGAAAGATTTACAGAGAGAAGGAGAGATACAAAGAAATATTTCCCATCTGCTGATTCACTCACGTGGCTACAGCGGTCAGAACCGAGCTGATCCAAAACCAGGAGGCAGGAGATTCTTCTGGGTCTCCCAAGAGGGCGCGGGGTCCCAAGGTTTTGAGCTGTCCACTGCTTTCCCAGGCCACAGGCAGAGAGCCGGAAGGGAAGTGTAGGTTCAAGGTCTTAGAGTGGGGCGCTCCTGCCCCCTAGTGGCAATAGCAGGAACACAGCACCTATGGTCCACCCGCGGCTGGGCTTGCTTTGGGGAAGTCAGAACCAAGCCAACTTCTGATCACCACTGTCATGACTGTGCCCAGGGGACTCTCTGCCTCCCACACCCAGGCCAAAAAAGGGACATCTTGATCCCCCCATCCAACATCTGCCAAGAAGTGCAGAGCTCAGCTCTGGAGACTACAGTTGGAGTTCAGTTCCTCAGAAAAGCACTCAGTTCAAACTTTAAATTGGGGGATGAGTGTGTGTGTGTGTGTGTGTGTGTTTGTGTGATATCATATTAAAATCTTCACCTTGTGATTAACGACAAGCGTTGAACTACTCACCAGCAACATCCAGGCACTATCTCTCATGGACAGCATCCTCCAAATAGAGGCAGGGTACGCCTCCATCCCAAGGCCTGCATCCCTGTGTCCCTGCAGGCTCCCCGCCCCATCAGCAGCCATCCCCATGGAGGGCCTGGGTAAGCAGAGGCGACCACTGCCCTGCTCTAGCCAAACCTTCATCCGCTGCAGCACCACTCTCATCTCCCACAAACCATCCTTACCCTAACAACCCAGGGCAGGGGCAGGCCAGCATCCAGGAGCCACACATGCCCTCCTGTTATCACCAAACCTAACACAGCCCAACCTATCCAGGTCCTGAGAGGTCAAAAAGCCAGCCCTGTGCCCTGGGCAGGAGGACAGCACAAGACCAGGCTTGGGAGCAGCTGGGTCAGGCACCAGCAGCTCGGGCCCCAGAGCTCCTCAGTCAACAGACTACAGGTACCTTCTTAGTTCCCCCACCCACTCCCACAACACACACATGCACACTTACTTTCGGATTTTCAGACCCTCTTCATTGTCTGGAAGGAAAAACTCGAAAGATTTGTACGTCTTGACCATGTTGCGGCGGTACTGGCCAACATTGAATTCTGGAGGGAAGGAGAGGTTCAGCATTCGGAGCAGTTCTTGACCTTGGCCTATCCCAGGCCTTGGCTACCACGCCCACACCCAAGGTCGCCTTAGGCAGTGGGGACTAAGCCTCACCCCGAGTAGGCACACCGATCCAGTTCAGGTATCTTGTCAGCTTCTTAGAGATGTAGGTCTTGCCGCGGGCAGGTAGGCCCACCATGACAATGAGCGTGGGGCAGTTGGTCATGCAGACTGGCAAAACAAACAGCAGTGTCAGGCGTGGCAGGGCCTCCCAGGGCACAGGACTGGCGGCGGAATCCTCTCCTCCCTGCTAGCCCTCCCCATCCGGGTGTGCACCTGCAGATTTGAGGTACACTGAGCCATGCCGCAGTGGAACACGCGAGGAGGCCCCAGAGCAGGTATTCAACACCTGCCTCAGCCACTGGGGAGAAACACCCTAACCTTGTCACATCTGCCCATCCCCACCATGGCATACTGCTTCCCCTACCTCTGAGTGCAGTTCTTTTCTTTATAAAGATTTTATCTTTCGGGCCCGGAGCGGTGGCGCAAGGTCCTCGCCTTGCACGCCCGGGATCCCATATGGGCGCCGGTTCTAATCCCGGCAGCCCTGCTTCCCTTCCAGCTCCCTGCCTGTGGCCCGGGAAAGCAGTCGAGGACGGTCCAAAGCTTTGGGACCCTGCACCCGCGTGGGAGACCCGGAAGAGGCTCCTGGCTTCGGACCGGCATAGTATCGGCCCGTTGCGCTCACTTGGGGAGTGAATCATTGGACGGAAGATCTTCCTCTCTGTCTCTCCTCTCTGTATATCTGCCTTTCCAATGAAAAAATAATAAAAATAAATCTTTAAAAAAAAAGATTTTATCTTTCAGGCCCAGCGCAATAGCCTAGAGGCTAAAGTCCTTGCCTTGTATGTGCTGGAATCCCAGGAGCACCAGTTCTAATCCTGGCAGCTCCACTTCCCATCCAGCTCCCTGTTTACGGTCTGGGAAGGCAGTCAAGGACGACCCAAAGCTTTGGGACCTTGCACTGGGAAGAGGTTCCTGGCTTCAAATCAGCTCAGTGATTCCTGGCTTCAGATCAACTCAGTGACCGGCCGTTGCGTTCACTAAGGGAGTGAATCATTAGACATAGGATCTTCCTCTCTGTCTCTCCTCCTCTCTGTATATCTGACTTTCCAACAAAAATAAATAAATCTTAAAAAAAAAAAAAAAAAAGATTTTATCTGTCCATTGGAAAGCCAGAGTAAGAGAGAGAGAAATCTTCTGTCTGCTGGTTCACTCCCTGAAATGGCTGCAATAGCCAGAACTGAGGTGATAAGAAGCAAGCCAGGAACCAGGAGCTTCTTCTGGGTCTCCCATGTGGGTGCAGGGTCCCAAGAACTTGAGCCATCTCTGCTGTTTTCCCAGGCCACAAGGAGGGAGCTGGATGGGAAGTAGAGCAGCCAGGACATGAACTGGCACCCATACAGGATGCCAGCGTGTGCAAGGGAAAGGTTTAGCTATTGAGCCATCACGCCAGACCCTGGCTCACGGATTTGGACTGACCTAGCCCTGGATATCTGGGGACTGAATAAACAGGTAGAAGGTCTGTCTCTGTAACTCTGCCTTTCAAATAAATAATTGAAAAATAAATAAATAAGCAGAAGCCTGAGCAGGGAGGAAGCATTGAGAAGACTGAGACCAGAGGCCCAGGCTATGGAACAGTTCTTCTGAGATTCCCCCCTCCATGAACCCCCAGGCCAGGCCAGTGTGCCAAGGCTGGAGGTGGGCAAGGATGTCAGCACAGCCTTCCCCTGGGTCCGGCTGGCCAGGCCAGGCCAATGCCAGCCTCAACTGACCCAGCTCAGCTTTTTTCTTTTTCTTTTTCTTTTTTTTTTTTTTTAATTTTGAAAGTCAGATATACAGAGAGGAGGAGAGACAGAGAGGAAGATCTTCTGTCCAATAGTTCACTCCCCAAGTGGCCACAATGGCTGGAGCTGAGCCAATCCAAAGCCAGAAGCCAGGAGCTTCTTCCGGGTCTCCCACATGGGTGCAGGGTCCCAGAGCTTTGAGCCATCCTCGACTGCTTTCCCAGGCCACAAGCAGGAAGCTAGATGAGAAGTGGAGCTGCTTGGATTAGAGCTGGCGCCTATATGGGATCCCGGGCATGCAAGGTGAGGACTTTAACCACTAAGCCACGCCGCCGGGCCCCCAGCTCAACTTTCAACACACCCAGATTCAAGGTGGTCTGAACTCAGAAACCTGTGGACATTTCCTTTTCATCATTCCAAGGCCTGGGGCCAAGAAAACCTTGGCAGCCAGATGGACAGAGGTATGGACTGTTGCTGTCCCTCTGCCCACCTGGAGTGCCCACACCTTCACCTGGTAGCCCTCCTCAGACAGAATTCTCCCCCTGAAACACTCCCAGCCCAAGGCAGCTCTTTCTGGGGGCCCCGAGTCAGCCAGGCCTAAGCCCAACCCTGACTGACATTTACCAGAACTCTGAGCCCAGGTGTCCTCAGCAGTCGGACAGGATGATAACCCCTTGGCGAGGCCAAGCACTGACTCCACGTGGCAGCCAGAACTCTTCAGGAAAGCATGCCCTCTGCCCTGCCCTGGCAGGCACTCCTCAACCCAGGCTGCCCTAGGGAGGAGGGGCGTGGGGCAGCAGCCTATCCCTGGGGAAGGACCTGCGGGGGGGGGGGGTGTGCCAGCACTATGAGTTGCTTCTGTGCCCATGACAGCACCAAGTGGCGGAAAGGGGGGACCCTGGGGAAATGTGCAGAAAAACCTCAGTGTTGACTAAGTGAGAGGGAAACAAGTTAGGCAAGGTGGTGTGTCCTGAGGGCCAGCAGATGGCTGAGCTGGCCGTTTGCACAATTCCCAGCCAGGCTGAGGAAGGCCCACAAGTAGCCCAGGGCAGGGCATCAGTTATTCACCCCATACCGCACCCCACAGTGAGGCCACCCCTTCCTCAGGGGCACTCCCATGGGGTACTGCACGCTGCTCCCACAGCATCTGGTGCCTGCACCCCCTACCCCACTCCCAACCACATGCAAGGTGAGCAGACAGGGCAGCAACTCGGGCCTGGATACAAAACAAGGCTATAAATTAGCTGTCCTTTCTGCTCCTCAAGATAAGTTCCCAAAGAAGTGACACCAGAGAAAAAGCAAAGTTCAAGTACATTCCCAGCAGCTCTGCTGACGACAGCACAATGCTGAGGAAATGGAGATTACAGACTGAGGACAGGAAGGAAGGGGACACACTCCAGGCCCTGAGGCACAGGGCGCACAAATGAGGGACCTCAGTGCTGAGCAGACAGGGCGGTCGGACACACCACAGGCCGTGCAGGCCACGGGCGGAGAGCAACCTGAAGACATGGTGGGTGACCTGGCGTCCCTTTCCTGCTGACCTGCTGAAGGCCACGGGCACCAGGAGGCCCAAGGCAGGCCTGGCAATCGGCAGTGTCTGCCTGTTCCCTAGGGTACCTGTTGCAGGGCAGCTCAGGGTCCCATTCCTGAATTGCACCTGTTCCCACCTCAGGCCAGGCCAGGCTCTTCCAATAAAGGGATGTGGGAGGGCAGTCATGGGATCAGGCTAACTGCCGTACCCTACTCTGCCAGCGGTCTTTATGGTACTGGTGCCTGCTCATAAGCCCTCCAGCCCCTCCCCACAAACAGCCACCTTCTGCACAAAGGCACCGCATAGCACACAGGTAGGCCTAAGTTCCCACACTGAGCCCTAGGCTGGGCCCAGACCCCACCCCACCTCCTGTACTTTTCAGCGTCAGCCTCTTGAGTGCAACTTCCTCTTGCCAAAAGGTGTGTGTGTGAGCCCACGACACTGCAGGCTGTGCCAACATTCCCAGGACAGACCATCCAGAACCTGGCCCTCACACTGCCATCAGAGATAGACACTTGCCCCACGCCCCAGCCCCCAGAACCAACATCCAGGTCAAAGCCACGGCCCTCGCCTCACCCTTATCGTAGACAAGCAGAGTTCAGGGGTTCAGGAGACCCTGCTCGCTCCTGCCATCTCTTTGTCTCCATTTCTCTCTATCTTTTCTACCAGTTGTACTTAATGTTCTTGCCACATCCATACTGAGCAGCAAATTCATACAATGTTTCGGTGTCTCCTACAGGGAATCTTGTTGATTACAAAAAAGCTGCAGACTCATCTAGGGATGGGCAGAGAGTGCAGGATGTGGCTCCAACTCCCAGCACCCCAGGAGAGAATCCCAACCCCTAGGGGCTTCTCTCCCCAGCCTGCCCATTCTCCCGGCCACACACAGGGACGCCCAGCAGCCCCAAAGTCAGGACCGGGAACCTGGTGCTCTGTCTCTATTCTATGCACCTGTACTGCCCTCACATTCCTCTCCTAAAACTCTGCTTTAAGGCCAAGGGAGAGAACTAGCCTGCATTTAAGCCTTTGGACGTTCTCAGAGAGGCCAAGCCATCGGCCCAACCCCACACAGCTGGTGGTCTGAGTCAGACCACACTCTGGCCAGCACAGGGGAGGGGATCCGGCCCCCTGGGAGTACTGGGGACTGAGTAAGGGGGCCAAGGCAGGGGTAGCATCCTAAACCGATGGTAACAGATCTCAGGGCCACACGCACCCCTACGCAGCTGTCCACCCTGCAAGGCGACAGCCACCTCCTCTTGTCCCCAGCTACCCCTCACCAATGTCACAGCGGCCCCACCTGTCCCCCTGGCCCAGGCTCCCCGCGAGGCTCCGCCCAGCCCGGATCACCTCCCTCCCGCCCCCCACTACCACCGGCCCGCGGACCCCGCCTCACCACCACGCTGACAGGCGTGCAGAGCCGGCCGCCCATTGCTGTACGGCATCCAGATCTTCTTCAGGGGGTTCTGGGTCAGTTCCCGGGGGGACGCCATGCCGGGGCCGAGGGGAGGCGGAGTGCGCCGCTCCAGACCCAGCAGCCGGGCCACCTCGGGCCACCCGAGGCCCCGCCCCTCGCGCCCCGCCCCTCCTCCAGCCGCGACTACACCTGTCCATCTTCCCGGAAGCCCCGCCCAAGAACGGGTGGGCTCCACCCACCCCGGCGGGGCCCCGGTCTCCCAGGACGCATGCCCAACTCGCCCGTCGTTCCCTTCAGGGACCCAGCGCGGCCAGGGCGGAGAATGCGCATGCCCGACTCCCAACCGGCTCAAGGCCCGGATGGTGCAGGCCCCGCCCTGGTTGGGCGGAGCCAGCCGCTCAACACGCCCGAGGTGATTTGCATAGGCCCTGCAGCCCCGCCCCCGAGGCGTCCGTTCTGGGCTGTTCGTGACCCCAGGGATCCTGGGAGAGGAGGGTTTGCAGCGACCCTTGCTTGGCCGGAGTCCCTGGGCTGCGGTCCTGGCCGCCAGCACCCTGGCGCCTGTCTGGCCCTGCACCGAGCCCCCTCCGCACTCGCGGCTTTATCTCAGGGACGGGGACACTGGGCAAGCCTTGGAACCCGTCGTGTTTTTCTGTGGGCCTCGGCTCCCCTAGCCCGCACCCCTCCCTGGAGTCAGTGCGGATCCCCGTGATCATGTGCCCTGGGGACTCATTAAGCCCTCACAGCAGCTTCATTCTCCTTCCAGGATTTCGTGTTTACCAATTAAATGTCTAACCATGAGTTGCACATCTTTTTAATGAGCTGTTGCCTCTTCATCAGGAATGGAATGCATACATCATCCACCTGACGCCATCGTGCTACAGATTAGATGCGTCATTAGATGCGTCCTCTTAGGTGTCTGGCACGTCTTTGCAAATGCACAGAAGCAGGAGGCAAGGGAAGGACAGGAGATTCAGGGACCTCAGTTCACTCACTCCTACCCAGCCCCTCTGCAAGCTTTCTACCCCCAGCTCCCACAATCCACACCCATCGCACTGCCCTCTAGCAAGGTCCACCACAGCCCTGCCAGGGTCCTCTGCAGTTCTGTCTGCCCAGTGTATGTCCAGTCTAGAACCAGGGGCCAGGGTGAGACAAGGATGGCCTTGTGCACCCCAGGAGCAGTTCCCCTCCCAGGACCTCACTGCTATACCCCGCCTGGTCACAGTCACAGCTTGGCCGGGATCCCTGGAGTGACTGATGGCAGCTGTCCCGCCCACTTCACAGGCAATGAGGGCTTTGACGCATCCACAGGCTGGACGCCCACCTGAACACCCCCTGCCGACAAGCCAGCTCTGCACAATGTCCTACCCTTCGCAGAGGTGGCCACTTCCTCCTTCCTCATCCTCATGCTGTGGCATCACCCACTCCCTCCAGGCCCCACCCAGGAACACACCCATAGGTGGCTGCTGAGGAGTTGGGTGCCCTTTGTGACCATCCACCTGTTGCCTAATTCTCCAAAGCCACATGTTCCGTCCCCGACACCACCAGGCTTCCTGTCTGTTCATGTTCACTACCAAGGTCATGCCAGGGCCAACCTGGCCACACACTCACAACCTGTGCAACCACCAACATGCCTCTTCTAAAGCAGCCTGGCACCTGGCTGCTGCTTTGTCCTGTGTGGTCTCTCAGCCAGGTCTCCTAAGTGTTAGTCTAGGAGTCAGGAGCAGCCAGACCTGGGCAGGCTGTCTTTGCAGCCAGACCATCTGAACCTGGTTCCCTGGAAGTGCAGAAGCTCTGGGCTGCCCACTCTTCCCCAGTCTGACCACATACTTGCAATCCTTGTATGCAGCTGGGAGACCACCAGGCAACATAGGAGCCCCAGGGAAGGGGGCTTTCCTCAAGGCCAGGGCCTCCATCTACCCTGAGAATATTCCCTCTCTTTCCTCCCATGGCCTCATGTCTCAATCAGAAACCAGGGATGAGTGAAGGCTCAGGACCAGGGAGTCATCCTGCAGCACAGCATGGATGTAGCCTGACTCCCCGCCTGCCAGGAAGCTCACCTCCCAGACCTCGCACCATCACCTCCACACCCAGAGACCCTCCCTTCTTCAATCTACAGAAATGTCCTCCTGGCTCAGTAGCCACTCAGCTCAACAACTGACCCCCATACATTCACACACCAGAGCTTCTTCAGGGCATACTGAGGGGAGTCCCTACCCAGTCTCCTTCACAGGAAGTATGTGTGTGTGTGGGGGGGTGTCCATGTGCATCCGTTAGCCTCTGCTCACCATGAACTTGGATGGCTGATCCAGGCAGCCTCCTGTGGTGGTACCCCTGCACTGAATGCCAAATACCCCTTCCTGGTGCCCCAGGCTACAAGTCTCAGAGTGGCCAAAGTCCTCAGTCTGCATTCTCCCTGCTCACAGGTGACTCAGTCCCTGTATCTGCTGTTCAGGAGGGCTGGCTGAGCCACCAAAACTACTCTGTGCTGGGTAAGACCCATGGGGCTCAGTGCATGTCACACAGATGCCCGGAGAAGGATGCATGGGCACACAGACATCAACAAGCCCTGGGGGCCAGACTCCTGCACACAGGAGGGCAGAAGGCCTGCTGCTCTCCGCAGCCCCCTTGGCTCATTCCCCCTTTGTTGGGGAGGGCGGTTCCCCAGGAGATCCAGTTTCCCCTGGCCATCTCCAGGAAGGATCATGCCAAGTGTCCTCCAGGGCTCAGGGCTCCTGGAGTGTGAGGCCCTGGTCTGGGGACTGGGCTTAGAAAGCTATGTGGCCAAGCAACCTCTGTGACCTCTGACCTGATTCTGGCCTGGCACAGGCATACAGCAGCGACTTAGAGGGATCCAGGACCCGCCAGAGAGACACACAGAAGGAGCTCATAGAGGAAGGTGGCCAGGACCAAGACCACAGCAGTACTCAGCCAAACTCGGGCTGGCCCAGGACACACAGTAGGTACCTAAAACAAGGCTGGCTGAAGAACCAAAACCATGTCATAGATAAAACTTTCCAAACGAACCTCTGGACCACCCAAAGTGCCATGACCACCGAGGAGGGCGACCTGGACCCACCATAGTCCCTAGAAGTCCAGTGAGAGGCAGAGTTCCAGGGCAGCGGGCAGCTCCAGCTGGCTATCCCTGCCCCTGGGCTGCAGGAAGACACTATTTATAGCTTCCCCGTGGCCCAGCCCCCTCTCCTCTGCTAGGCAACAAAGTTCCCCCTCCTCCAGGCTACTGACAGACCGATGCCCCCCTCCCAACACCCCTAAATCCACAGAGACCCCCACTTCTCATGTCCCCTCTAGTACTATGCTCACCACACCCTAGCTTTTGCTCAGTGCCTCCCACAGTCCCCGTGCTGCCCTGCACCTACCCGGCTTGCTGCTCCCTGGATCCGTGAGAGAGCTGCCTCCTAACGTGCCTCTGTCCATCCTGCCACCGCACTGGCCAGGGCCACCGCCCCCTTTGGCTCCCGGGGAGGGAGCCCCGCCCCTTTGGCTCCACCAGGGCAGTCCCGCCTCCCGGGCCACCCTGGGCACGCCCCCCACTGCCCAACACACACACACAGACACACACACACACCAGGCTACTCACAACTGTGAGGTTAATGTCCAGGCCCTCACCCTGAACAGGCAGCCACCCTCCTGCCACCACAGCCTCTGTCCAGTTGGGGTTGCCTGTGCTGCCAGGGTCTGCCTTTGCTTCCAGCTAGAGTAGGCTATCCAGTCCACAGGTCCTCCCCCAGCCTCAGGCAAGCTGGGCCACACTGCCTTAAACGTCAGCACCACCTCAAGGCTGACAATACACTTTGGGGGATATGTTGAAAAATGACAAAACCTTCTGCTTCCAAACTCAAGAGCCAGGTCAGTTAAAAGGCCAGGGAGGGGGCGGGTGGGCGATGGGTGTGGTGGTTAAGTCATCCTGTGGGATGCCCTTGTTCCATCTCAGACGACCAGGTTCAAGTCCCAGCTCTGTTTTTATTGTGATGTCCTGCTAACACACACTCTGGGGGGCAGCAGATGGTGGTTCAAGCACCTGGGTCTCTACCACTCCTGTGAGAGACCTGGATGGCGCTCCAAGTTCCTGGCTTCAGAGCGGGCAGGCAGCTCGGGAGTCAACCAGCGGATGGAAGATCTGTGTCTGCATCTGTCCCCGCTTTGTCTTTCAAATAGAGGAGGAAAAGAAGGGGGGAGCAGGAGGGAGAGTGGGCAGAAGGTAGAGAAGGTAGGTGTGACTCAGCCCTATGTGCCACTGCCTGGTACACATGAGCGTGTGGTTCTTCTTGTCTGTCCCGATCTCCAGTCACATCACATTCACTAAGTGCTTCCTGCAGCCAGACCCTCAAACTTCACAAGAAATCAAGGAGGAGGGCGTTGATGCTGGTTTACAAATGTGCTCAGGACCGTTCTGCAAGGCTGGCGGAGAGCTGGGTGTGGTCCGAGTCCCAGGTCCTGCTGCCAGGTGTCCAGGGCTGAGGGTGGGACAGCGCCCAGTTCTGTGCTGTGCATGCTTCCCGCAGGGCTCAGGGCGGAGGACTGTCTCCTCCCAGGTCTCACATGCCCTAGTAGTTGCCAGACTTGGAACAAGCGGCATACTCTCCATCCCCACACAGGTGCACATGCTGTGGCACAGATGTGTCTATGTAGCTGCTTCCGCTGGATTTGCCCTGGCTGCCCCATCCATCTGGGGTAGGTGCTGCCCAGAGGCACAAAGCAGGTGGCACCTGTCCACCAGCCCCATCCTGGGGGAGACAGATCCAGCCCCACAGCCCTTAGATGCCTCCTGGAAGTCACATGATGGTCACCACTTGTGGCAGAGTCCAGACACAGTGTGATCCTGAGACATGGCAGGACTCCCCCGGCGGTGGCCGTCCATGGCAGTGTCCAGGCTGTCCCAATCCAGAGATGTCTAGGCCACAGGTCCATGCACCCCGTGACTTTGGGCACTCAGAAAGAGGTGACACCACATGGCAGTGGTCACAGTCACGTCCAGGAGCACTCTGCCTAGATGTGGCCCCACCCAGCTCTGTCACCGTCTTCCAAGGCTGCCTGTCCACAGCCCCCCATATCATGACCCCTCTCCCTCAGGCTCAGCGGCGACCTACCTGGGCCAGGACCCGGGCATTGGCGGCAGCCCGCTCCCTGGCAGCTCTGGTCCGGGCCTGTTCTAGTAAAATCTGCAGGAGGCCCATGGGGACATCCAGGGAGAGGGCTATGCGGGGGCTGAGGCGAGGGCGCGGGCTGGGGTAGCCCCAGGTGGTGGTGGGGGTCTCCAAGGCTCCAGGACTAGGAGTGGTCTGTGGGCAATTCTGAGGGAGGGGCTGGAAGACTGGGGTGGGGGTCGCTGGGACAGCCAGGACCCTGACCAGGGTCAGGGTCAAGGTCAGGAACAGAGCTCCCCTGGTCATCGCTTGATCCGGCTGCAGGAAGGGAACAGGCTCAGGATGAGGGCTCTGGTCAACCAAGGCTCATGGACATACAGTAAGAGAGGCAGGGGTAGAAGGAGAGAGGCCATGGGTGGCAATGAAGAGACAAGGGCAAGTCAGAGGCAGAGAAGGAAACAGACCAGAAACAGAGATGACAGCTGACAGATGGACAGACAGTGGGAGGGGATAGGAGATGAACAGGAAGTAAATCTCTCATGAACCCAAGTACAGGGAGACTGGGCGGAAGAGGCTCGAGCCCGTGAGAGACATGAGACACCGAGCTTCCCAACAGGGGCTTGCAGCTGATGCAGGCAGGAGGGGGCAGGCACCCAGACCCCAGGGAGCCCCTTATCCAGCAACCTCCCTCAACCCAAACCCCAGGGCTTCCCAATCCCCAGGCTGACTCCCATCCTACCTCAGGCAGCCTCCTCTGGGAATCAGCGGGGAGGCCAGGGTGGGTGCTGCTGCCTGCAGGCAAACCCTCAGCACCCATTTATGACCCCCAGGGTGGGGACAGGGACGTGTTTCAGGCCTGAGGCAGCCCCCATCCCTGTGACTCAGCCCCTCCTGGGGAGTAGGGAGGACACACCCTCCTCCCCCCACCCCATCTACGGTTTTCCGGGAACAAGTTGGGGTCTGAGGGTCATAGGACAATGACCAGGGCTGTGCAGAGGGACTCTGTCCAGGCAGGACAGTCCTGACACCCTCCCTGGGAGGGAAAATCTGCCCCCCAACACCTCCATGGCCTCAGACAGTCACAACAGGGGCCTTTGAAAACAGCAGCTTTAATCCGACCCCCCTAAAATCAGCACCATGTCATCGCCGCGTGAGTCCAGGGGCAGAGGGGACGCCAGCCACCTCCGTTCACTGACCCCAGTCACCCCCCCACCGTGAGTCATCTGCTAGTAAGGCAGGAGCCACAATGGGGGCTTGTCCACAGCGGGAAGGCTGGATCCATGAGACCCAGTCACTTAAGTATGGGACACGGGACACACATGTGCACGTGCCTCTAGCACCAAGGGGAGGGGCACAGGGCGCTGTGAAGACCCTGGCTCCTCCAGGGGACACAGGTAAGCATGTCGGTGGCCTTCAGCTTGGGCAGCACCTGGGCAGGGCGAGTGGGAAATGATCTTTTGCCCCATGACTCCTTCCCCCAGCGTGTGGGCCCTCAGCACCACCCATGACCAGGCAGGGAAGCCACTGGGGGAGCTGAGGCCACAACAGATGCAGTGGGGGAGGTCCATCCTCAGAAGCAGGCAGAGAAACTGCCAGGGACTGCTTATTGAGCTTCTTTGGTGTAGGGGCTTGCCTGTGGTCCCCTACCTCCCCCAGTCTGAGGGCACTGCCCCAGGACCTTGTCCCCAGAGTTGAAAGGCACAGGGAGAGCATACCTGTTGCAGCTGTTCAGGGGTCCTGGGTCACGTGGGGTTGGCAGCGCTGCTTACAGGCCTCAAGAGTCCCAAAGCGGTTGGCATTTCCTCCACAGCCACCATAAACAAAGGGCCGACAGGCCTCAGTGCCATCGGGCCCAGCACGGTGGTACCAGCGCAGGGTGTAAGCAGTACAGGAGCCTTCATCCAGGGGCAGCGAACAGGGGTCTGGGCCCACTAGAGTTGAAAGGAACACAGGTGAACAGGGTTGGGGGAACCAGTGGAAGGCCTGGGGCCCATCCAGGGGCAGCGAGCAGGGGTCTGGGGCCAACAAGGTTGGATGGGGGCCATGGAGCAGGGCCATGGAGGACCAACAGAGGGCCTGAGGCTCATGTGAGCTCAGCAAGGACCACCCCTGCCCACCAAGCACCAAATCCTTCTAGGCCAAATCCCCTTCTCACCACTGGCATCCCAGGGCACTTCAGGGTCCTGGTACTCCTCCACAGAATACTCCGAGTACTCAGAGTACTCATCATCCTCAGGGGGCCTCTGGGCTGCAGGTGCAGAGCGTGGGGTGAGGGGCAGCATGCCACCCTCCTCAGGCTGCACAGAGGGACTCCCAAGGACAGGCGCTGGCCCAGTAGTTCAGACATGGCTTGGGATGCCTCCAGCCCTTATTGGAGGCCTGGATCCCAGACCCTACTAGCTCCCCATTCATGTGCACCCCAAGATGCAGCGGGCTCAGGGGGTTGGGTCTGCCACCCACACAGGAAGTTCTGGTTGAGTCCCTGCTCCCAGTTTCTAGATGGTCCTGCCACAGCTGTTGGGGACATTGGACATTTGGATGCAGAATTTCTGTATGTGCCTACACATAGAGACTACATACACGATGCACATCCTGCAGGCATGAGTATCCATGCCCCAGTCAGCAGCCCTCACCTTCCTCCTCCACATGAGAGACCCGCAGTACAGGCACAGGGTGCAGCTGGTGGTCAGCAGTGTCTGCAGCATAACTAGGGAGGGGTCCTGGAGTGAAAAGCAGGGGGAATCAGGCCCTCCTTGGGCCCATGATGGCAGCCACCCCAGCCACACCCCTGCTAGGAGGACCTGAATGATGGGCTGGGCAGGGTTTCAGGGCCAACAAAGTTCCAAGAACTGAAAGTTTACTCACGTGATCCAGATGCACTAAACTGGCCCTGGCAGGCTGGGAGGGAACAGGGCAAGCAGCAGAGAGGCAGATAAAAGGATGGGATGGTGGAGATAGACAGACCGGAAGACAGAGACACACGGTGGGGAAGGGATAGCAGGAGAGAATGACAGAGGGAAAAGTGAGTGGTGGAGAGACAAAAGGAGTGAGAAAGAAGAAAGGCCAAGAAGACGGAAGCCAGGGATAGAAGGGTGTTGGGAGCAGATGAAAAGACAGGAGGCAAAGGTGGAGGAGCAGGTGGGCATGGATGGAGCAAAAGCAGCAGAGATGGGAGACACAGAGCATCACTCTGATGCCCCTGGGTTCCCCACAGCTGCACCTGCTGGGACAAGCTCTGCTCCTGCTCCAGCCCTTCCACACTGGATGTGCAGGGATACTCAGTGGCCAGCCCTGTCTGCCTGGTATCTGCCTTTCCCAGGGCAAGTCCTGCAGGACCTGGGTCTGTGTGTCCATCCTTCTTCCCCAACCCCTGAGTCACTGATCCCTCCCAGTCACCCTCTTCCTCTCCCCTCCCCCACTCCAGCTGATCTGTCTGCCCTGTCCAGGGGGCCCAGGGTGGGGCAGGCACAGGAGCCAAGAGACGCCAGGCTTGGCTGCACTTACCACAATGCTGACTCATCTCCTGACGCACAAAGGCCCGGATGTCATCCTCCTGAGAACACAAGACCACAAGGACAATGAGGACCCCACGGGTCACAGAGGGGCAGCAGGGGGTCGGGGGCTCCAACCCGCCTAGGCCCACACTTACTGTCAGAGCAGCTTCTCCCTTCTGGCCACGAGGGCCGACGGGCCCTGGCCGCCCCTGGGCAACAGATGATATCGGGCTGGGGACTCTGACCTTGGAGACACCAGAGGTCACCCCAATCTTTGATCTCAAGCTCAGAAACCCCCACTTACCTGCTCACCTCTCTCCCCTGGGGTCCCAGGTGCCCCGGGAGCTCCCACCACACTCTCTCCAGGAGGACCTCGTTCACCCTGGGAGACACAAGGACCAAACGCATGGGGTCAGAAGCAGAGGGGTTCAGAGAGTTAAGTGCCACCATCCCAAAGGGGCACCTGTTGACCTCTAGCTGCAGCTTCACTTCCAATCCAGCTCACTACTAATGTGCCTGGGAAGGTAGTGCAGGGTGGATCCCAAGTGCTTGGGCTCCTGCACTCATGTGGGAGACCTAGAGATTCTAGCTCTTGGCCTGACCCAACTCTTCTGGTTGTTAATACTATTTGAGGGGAGTGAACCAGTGGGTAGAAGATTCTTTCTCTCTCTCCTTTTCTCATTATCGCTCTGCATTTCAAATAAATAAATAAACCTTAAAAAAAAAAAGCCCAGCATGATGGCCTAGTAGCTAAATCTGTGCCTCGCATCTGCCAGGATCCCACATGGGTGCCAGTTTGTATCCCAGCTGCTCCATTTCCCTTCCAGCTCCTGACTTGGGACCTGGGAAAGTAATAGAGGACAGCCCAAGGCCTTGGGACTCTGCACCCATGTGGCAGACCCAGAGGAGGCTCTGGGTTCCTGGCTTCAGAATGGCTTAGCTCTGGCCATTGTGGCCACCTGGGGAGTGAATCATCAAACAGAAGATCCTTCTTTGTCTCTCCTCTCTGTAAATCTGACTTTCCAATAAAATTATTTTTATTGTGTATGGGCTGGATAGTGGAGCTGGTTAGGTTGAACTAGGCTTCAATGCCCATTGGCATGTATGAGAGCTGAATGGAATGTGCGAGAGATTGGACTAGTCTGCTGCACATACAGGCAAGCACGGGAACCAGGGCAGGGGGCGGGCCTGGTGGGGGTTATTGTGGGTCGCTCCAACTAGGCTGCAGCTCCCACTGGTTTATGTGAGGGCCGAGCGTGTGCTGGGCAGAATCAGCCTGGACTGCAACACCCATTGGTTCCGGTGGAAGACAGCACTGGAAACAACTGACCCAGCAATTACAACCACCAGGTGATTGGGGCGATGGACTGTACCGAGCTCTGTACTTGCAAGTACACAAAAGAATCTGGTCTGGGATCACCTCAAAGTTTCTTTGGGGAGCTCCCCAATCGAACTGCTGGACTCAGAATCCCAACCATGAAGAGAAGTGCAGGTTCCATGGTCTGCCATGGAGTGCAAGTACCAGAGCTGAAGCTCTTAAGAGGCTCAGACAGAGCAGTGGATAGCATAACCAGGTGCACATGAAGGATATGGCAGTCTATCAGAACCTGCAGAGGACACCTGGTACCATAACAGAGGACAGAACAAATCAATCAACTACCCCAGCCATATGTTGGCAGTGAAAAACAGGGCAAACAGAGACTCTAAGATGGACTATGCCAACCAGTGAATTCTGCAGTGACCTCATTGTGTTTAGAATGGCAAGATTTGCAGCAATTCATAACTGTTGAACTATCAAAACCATTTGAGCAA